TTTTTACTGGAAGATCGGCAAATCACATGGTGCTAGTCACGTCTTTTACACTCCCTTATAAAATCTTCATACTGATTTGTGTTGTTTCGAAAGAAAAGACAGTACACCCACCAAATGAACGTAACTGGAACAGCTGTGCTACCAGCGGAAAACTGATTGTCGCAAATATACCCTGAGTTGGAGAAAATTGATTTTAAATCCAATCATCACTATTAGAAATGAAGGGTGTTTTAGTACAACTGACCTTGCTTGGACAAAACAAGCAAACTTCTTGTGACTGTTGTTACCGCTGGTCCTGTTTTGACAGTGAACGTGTAATCGCCTGAGTCTGATTCCTTCAGATCTTTTATAACAAGAGCAGTGAACCAATCTTCCTGCTTGTTTAGAGTCGTGTACAGTATAACACGCCCGTATCGTGAAGGGGTCAGCGGCTTCCCACTTTTCTTCCAGCCCATGTCTTCACGCTAAAAGTGTGATGTAACACGAGGCATGAGAAAAATCACTCCACGTGACAGTACATTAAATTTCTTTTATAAAGTTAACAGATGTATGTATGTCTGTGTAGCGAGCTAAACGCAACGAGGGAAACAGAACACGACGCAAAAACATCAACTACCATCAATTGCAGAGGAGCGCGCGTTAAGAAATTTGACATTTACTCAAACTCAGAAACGCAAATTGAAGCAATGCACATATCATACACATACAGCAACTGAGCCCGAAAAAATGTCTGTAAAAAAATGTGATCATTTCGATCTGGTTTATCATAAAACACCGAAAGGAATAATAAACTGGCAAACCAGAGCGTACGAAGTTGTCAACCTTTCCTTTTCCTGGGCCAGATTGTTCGATTCGAATCCTAACCCAGGATTAAAAAAGTAACCGAAGTAGTTATTTTTGTTGTATAAAAGTGTTTTTTCACTGGTTATGTTTCGTGTAGTTTAAGTTTATTACACTTACATTACACTCCTTTATAAGCTCTTATATCTATGTTGTGTCGTATAAATACTCTGTTTTCAAACCTTACTGATAATACAAACCAAAAACCTCACCGAAAAGTTACAAATATGAAATCATAATTTTCGCTAATCCTGGGTTAGCTGAATCTGGCTTTGAACAACCCGCTTAAAGGAAAGGAAAGCCATATTTTTTTTTCCATATTGTTTAGAGTACTTTGGATTTTTTTTTAATCCCGCGGCAATCCTCACCAGTTAGAAAATCAAAGGCAAAAGCTTCCTTAGTACGCTGGACAAAAAATTAAAACAAACAAAGTAACACAAATAATTTTGTGATTTTCTTAAACTTTACTAAATTCCCCACGTGGAAACTTGTTTTTATATGGTTCACGCAAAAAAGGCTTGCGTTACATGCACCTTGTCCAAATTTGGTAACTGAGTTCAAAAAAGTTTGCAAAATCCGTGATTTCTGAGAAAGAAGATTTAACAGTTGGAGTATTGTTTTGCGAAGAAACTCTTTACGTGCTGGTGGATTTTTTTTTTGTCAAGATTTTGACTAGAAAGCATGAGAAAGACTTACAACTTATTTGGCTACTGAAATACGAAACTGTCTCCAGAAACTGATCTTCTTGGAAGTCTTTAAACTTAGGGTTCTTGCCACTAAATCGGTCTACCGCCTGTTTTGAAGATGGCCGCCTTTAGCTCGCGCTTCGTACAAGCCACAATTGTACAAGATACTGCTCTGTTAAAGCGCTGTCGGCGAAGAACCCCAGGCAATGTTATTTGTGCTTTTAGGAACGTTTCCGGACCTGTTTCTGGGCTCATCTACCATTGGCTTGGCATTGGCTTGTCCTATCTATATTATAAATAGTGATGTCACAGAATAAAAAGGTAAAACACCAACCCCACTCCTACAAGAATTCTTTTGTTGGCTGCACTGGACTGGAAATCTACGAGACGGTTTACGGACAAACTAGCGGATTCGTTGCAGCTGGATTACTAGTAACCATCTCAAAAAAACTACTCTACTTCGTTACTCGAAAATCCAACTCAAAATCCTAACTCGAAAATCCAACTTGAAATCCTAACTCGAAAGTTAGTTTGTCTCCGCAAATTTAGATACGCTATAACGCAAGTATTCCTTGCGTGAGCTATATGAAAATAACTTTCCATGTGTGGAATTAAATAAGGTTTAAGACAATTAAAAAGTTATTTGCATCGCTTTGCTTGTTTTAATTTTTTGTCGTAAAAAGTCGATCCAGAACAGTGTTGTCCAGCGTACTATAATCTCGACAGTCAGCTGAGAATGGCTGTATTGTAAAACTGACCTGTGGTTTGGGTTGACCACCCTTGACTGTAACGTTCATTTTTATTTCATTTTCACCCTCGGTTACTCTCTTGTACACAGCATGTGGCTCAGCTATTAACCTTGGCCTAACTACAAGATAAAATCACAATAACGCATAGACTTAATTTATTCAAAACACCGACGCATTCAAAAGATTTCGTATAAAGAGAGGATAAAAGTTGGCCTATAAAACTCAACCCCAGCGACCAGTCGGTTGAAAGAGACCATGCAGAGACTTTGAAATGATACTAGTTTTATGGTGTCGACACTCAGGCACTCGAGCCCCCGCGTTTAAGTCCTCTGGAGTTTCTCTCACTCTACCCGGATCCCTTAAGTACGTTGTTATGCTAACAATTTAAGAGCGGTTTTTAAATGCGTGTGGAAAACCGAAAAAGAAAAAGAAAATGAATCGCTCCAGTCAGTCAAATCTCAAAGAACGCAGACAACCTAATGAACCAATTAAAACGCTAACCAAATACATGCAGTCGGCACAAAGGGCGGGAAAAAGTGTATGAGTGAGTAGCCATTGGTTTTCGTTTACTTGTGATTGGATGAGAAAGTGGCGCGAGCTTTCTATGTCAATCACAAAGCGTAGTAATGTACAACCGAAGTAGATGGGGATGCTTTCGACGTTCAAGAGAAAACCTCTCCACTGTGTTATCGTAATACTTACTTATAACTCGGACTTCCACTTTCTTCTCAAATTGACAATACTTTCCTCTTGCCACAATCCTGTATGTCCCAGCGGTGTTAAAATTAATCCGCGCCAATTTAAGCTTCTTTCTGAATGAAGAGGAGCCATACTTTTCCCCTAGCAGCAAACAACGAAAATAAAGAAAAAATATGAAAACCGAAAAAAAAAAATTGTTTTATCCCAAGTGGATACTATGTGCTGTTATCAAACCCATGGCCAGACAAAAGTCTTTGTTGGTCGATTTTAATATAAAAGTCTGCACGTATAGGTGTGGATATGACTTTATTTACCTGGGAATGTGAATCCATCGGTCGTCCTGTCAATAAGAGTACCATTGTGATACCAATCAACCGTTACAAGTGTCTTATCATTTTCGATTTTGACTTCCAGCAAGTCGCTTACATCCTTGGCTGCCAAATGAGGAGAGGGCGTCACCCAGGTGATGAAAGGCACGTCTGAAAGTTAGTAACACGCGCTTGGTAAGTGTATTTTCATAGCGGTCTGTTTTAATTATATTATAATAGGCCATTTCCGAGTAAGCTTTTTTCTCCCTTTTAAAACCAGTCTTCGTGCAAAACCTCTCATGTAAAACTGACTTTGATTTGCATGAAAATGAACCAGTAAGCGAAACGCATTTTCACACGAATGGTTTCTCACGTAGACTGGTTTTGATACAGAGGCCACGAGCAACTCGGAAATGAACTATTAGTCCATATATGCTACAGAATTTAGCCACTGTAGCAAGTATAAAGGCAAATGCTAAATTTCACTAAGCAGTTTCATTTACCAATTTCATTTTCTTCTTTGTAAAATTCCTAAACTTAAGTAGTATTTAGGGCCCCTATTATCTGCGTTCCCGTCTGCGAGTAACAAGTCAGTCAAAATTCGAGGAAAAACTGAATCGACGTAAGCGTGGGAAAATGTGTCACAAGGCCAAGGGCGGGAAAATCGCTTAACCAACGAAGGACGCGAGAAATCTCGTTTAATTAATGGTAAGCACGGAAGACGTTTTTATAAGTGGCATGCGCAGCAACAAATTTAAGTGGTGCGGGTTCATACTTGATCCGAAGCCATGTAAAGCGACATGTTGATAGCATTTGATGTTCATGACATCACGTCGTAGTTTGCGAGGATGTTTGACTAAACTAAAGGTAATAACGGCCCAATTAGGCTAACCCAGGATTAGCTTGAATTTTGATTCAAGGTTTGTAAGTTTCGGCGTGGTTTTTTGTTTATATTGTTTGTCCTTCCGCTTTGAATTTATGTAGTCTCAAACTACACAAAACATAGGTAGTGACAAACATTTTCATACAAAGAAAGGAATACTTTGTTAACTTTTAATACCGGGTTAGCGTTAACCGAACCTTTGACCGACTTTCGGACAACTCGGCTCAGGTGTTAGAACAAAATAATATTTCACCTTCAGTGACCACCATTCGTGTCGCTCCTCTAGCGAGCCCGAACGGATTTCGGACATCTGCCTCGTACAACTCTCCTGTTTGCTCTGGAAGAGGGTTAGCCACCGTCAAAGTAGCAGAGTTCTTGACTTTCAGTGTTCGATGCCGCTTGCCCTTTCGAGTCCGTACGTGATACCAATTGACACTCCAGGGGCTTGGGTACCGGAAGCTGCTCTCCGGCATTTCTACATTCATTTTAAGAGGTGTTTTCATGCATGCACCAAATGTTTCCGGAAGTGAAATGCGAGGTTCGTCTATAACAGGAAATAGACGATTCAGGTTGAATACAGTGGCGTTCAAAAGAAACACTGTAATTGGTATTCACATTTACTCCATCATCGTCTTCGTCTTCGTCTTCGTCTCGTCTTCGTCTTCGTCTTCGTCTTCGTCTTCGTCTCGTCTTCGTCCTCGTCTCGCCTTCGTCTTCGTCTTCATCTTCGTCTTCGAATTGTCTTCGTCTTCGTCTCGTCTTCGTCTTCGTCTCGTCTTCGTCTTCGTCTCGTCTTCGTCTTCGTCTCGTCTTCGTCTTCGTCTCGTCTTCGTCTTCGTCGTCTTGGTCATCGTCATCTTCATCGTCATCGTCGTCGTCTTCTTTATCGTCATCATCATCAATTTCACCTCTCTTAGCTAATTTAGCTCTCAAGATTCGCCATCGGCGTGCAAAGTTGTCAGACTTTTCATGAAGGAGTGCTCAAAGCTCAAAACAACATAAAGGTGCTGAGAGCACTCTTGATGAAAAAAACATTGCCAAGGTACCAACGATTTAGAACGATTTTCTTGTATATGACACTTGTATGCCTTGAAATTGATAAATTGAATCAGCCAAAGTGAAGAAAAAAAAAATGATCAGAAAAGTCGGCTAGTTTTCTTTAACATACATGTCGTAGATTGTTCAGTGTTTTACATCAGCAACAGCAAAAAAAAAACGTCTTTCAACAAATAACTAGCGATGACAATGTGGCAGACGAACAACTATAAAAACGTATATTTACTTCTAGTAGGGACGGTATATTATTAAAAACCACATTATGTACTTGTCTAGGAACTTATTAGAAAGGGCGGTGGCCCTTGAATAGTTTTGGGTGGAAATTTATAACGCACTTACAGTGTCTATGAAAAAAAAATTGCATGTGGACTCTTCTTTTTTCTCACCTTCGTGTCGCAGCTCGATAATAGCTGCGTTTCCAACCGATCTTACACGATTATACACCTCGACTTTGTATGTACCAAGATCAGCGGCTGTCACCCTCTCAATATCTAACACGTGACTTCCGGCGAAATAGTTACCGAAGTAGGCCTTGTCATATGCGCGATATCTGCCTCTCGCTCGGCTTCGCGAGTAATTGAAATAGTCGTTGTCTCTTTCAGGCTTCATCGTGAACAGCACTGATGTTTGCCGCTCAGGATCGGTTACGTCATACTTGAATATTTCTATCCATTTTTTGCTTTTTTGATCAAACTTGGACCACTTGATTTCGTACTTTTCAAATTTCCCTGGGGGGAAAAATAGGAGATAAAAACTACGTCCGTAAGGCTGACATGTGTCAACAATGGCAGGTAATTTGATTCTTAGAACATTCTTTAAATGTTGAAACGATACTACGCTATCACTTCTCACAGCACTTCCATGCGGTTCCGGGTAGCATGTGTTTTTAATTGCTGAGGCGGTGGATGAAGCAGTAATATGTAACCTTTCAAACATAAGCTTCTGAGCAATATTTTCATGCATGTCATTATGGTACTGTTTATTATGCTGTATAGGGTGGTTCTAACTGTTTAATCCGTGGATAAAACCCTAGTGTGTAACCATTCAAATGAAAGCTATTGCGTAGTACTTTCATGTGGTACTACTTATTATGCTGAAAAAGGTAGTTTTAACTTTTTGGTCTGGATTAAACCTTGGTGTGTACATGTGACCATTCAAATGAAAGGTATTAAGCAGTACTTTCATGTTTTACTGTTCGCTATGCTTTCTCAAGGTGGTTCTAACATAATCAAGTTACGATGGTTCTAATGTTGTAGTCTGTGGATGAAACCCTAGTGTGTGACCATTCAAATGTAAGCTACTGAGCAGTACTTTCATGTGCGAGAAATTTTCTGGAAGATGTCATTGCTTTTGTGAATAGTTTTTACGACGTTCAAGTCAATTATTGACGTCGCCGTCCTTTGCGAAAATACCCATCTTCTGAGTCCCTGTCCATAAATATGGAAAATAACTCGGCAAGGGTCGAAAATTGGATTTCGCTCATATTTTTATAACAGATAGGCTAGGGCATGGCAAAAACTACTGGGTAGTTTTTTTGGCAAAATATCCTTTTAATTTAAAGAAATACGCAAATTACCAAGTTCAGTTAAAATCGTCATCAAACTTGTTTTTAACAGTTTGCTAGAGGATAGCTGGGATTGCGGCGGACGTGCCCCAAGCAGCCGCGAGCGATGATAGGCGCCTGTATTTGCAGGCTACTTTTTCTGTAAAGAATCAGGACATTTTAAATGATGATGCATTGCATTTTAAGCTCGCAAGATCTGTCTTGAAGATCGCATCATTTGAATTCGCAAACCTTAAACAAAGGATAGTTCATCTTGTCGCTTATATTTATATGCTTACAAGTAATGAAGAAATATCTAAAATTGAGAAAACATACCTTTAAAAACATCTGCAAGTTTCTCTAGTCCCTGA